CTCTAAACAGTGTTCTGTGCTCGTCTGTGCAGCCAAAGACAGAACAGTTAGCATGTTTTGTTCAAACTTTCGCCATGGCTTTAGAGCTGGTACACCGTTGTCGCTTGCGAAATCAAAATGACAGCGCAGTGGGTGGAAACTTACAGATTAAGGGGCGGTAATATTATAATGAGATTTCTTTGCAGTGTCACTACAGGAGCGAAATCAGACGTGCTCGTTTTTTCAGACGCTTGCAGAAAAAAAGCTTACCAAAACAAAGTTACCGGGTTAATCTTTTTCATGTTTCCTTGGTTGGTAGATGCACCGGGGACCTGATTATAGCAATTATATCAGTTTTCATGATATGTCACCTTTAAATAACATGAGGGTGAGTTAATGATATCAGAATTTACATTTTAGGTGAACTAACCCTTTAACCAGTTGATTATATCATACAGCGATGTTCACAGAGCCTGTAACCGGTGTTATAGTGCACACTTGGACCATTAGTATGCAATGCCACGCTCATACAGTATGCCAATTAAGCATAACTCTCTGAAGAAGCGAACCAAATGTTATTCTCCCTTTGAGGCAAAACGGAGCTATTCAATAAATGTTCAATTTTTTTGCTTTAGTCTTTTCCCTCCCCTCGCGTATGCTAGGTCCCTTAGGTAAGTTTAAGAACTAGTTTTCCATTGTCTCCGCTCTAAGAGGTCTGTATATCACGGAGAATGAATCCTGTCAGTTTTATTACCGCTGGAGCACGGCACCACTGATAAAAACAAGACTTCATATACCCTTGGCATCTCACAAAATAGCCTTGCTTGATCAGTCTGTTACCCGAACCTCCCCCTCCTATTTTCTCCTTCAACCCTTGTCTTTCTCCTCGGCTCTGGTTATGTCGAAAACACCGCCCCCCTCCATCCTTCCCCTCCCTGTAATGAAAAGGCCTGGCAGAACAAGCCCCCAGCAGGCCCGAGGGTCCCTGCTCAAGTCAGCGTGGCGTTTCACAAGTAGTCGGCTCCCATGTCAATATCCATCTCCAGTGCAGTCAACGGTAATCCCTCTCCCTCCAAGACAAGCTTTCATATCACTTATATTTGATAAATGCCGGGAAGCATCTAACAAGCGCGCTTTGCGGGAGATGCCTAAACCTCAGGCGCTCAGATTCGGTGTAACTGATCCCAAAAATACAAGACGAGAATCAATGGAAGAGAAGAAAGGTCTTAAATGGTCTTTGCCGGATGTCTGCTAATTAAAGTGACCGCTCGCGTTGTTGTATCGAACACGGAGGTATGCCGGAGGGAGAGACTGCCCCTTTGCCCACTTAGCCAAAATAATGAGGAGAATGACATACACTGTGCGTCAATAGGGAGAGGAGGCCAGGCCGTCACTGTCAGACATGGAATGATGTGCATGCCATATTGACCCGCTCAATTTTACAGTCTTTTTTGATCTTGATGATATTTCAGTTTTCTTAAGTCATTGTGGCAGTGCAGTAAAAATAATTCAGGTATGGCATACTTTGATTTGTACTATAAAGAAAACCTCATTGTTGCACTGATTGGTATTCAGTCACACATACCAATGACAGCGTTCACCCACTCAATATTTAGATTATTGACCGGCCCTCTGTGTGGATTACTGTATCACAGAGAGTGGCTGTTAGATCTGGATGTGAGAAATTGTGTAGTTGTTTCTGTAGTCTTTTTTATGTGAGATAATAGTTGGAAAAGGGGTTTCTCAAGGGACTGGCAACCCATCACAACTGTTCGACGCAGGCTGCACAGGGATAAGGCAAAAATGCTGTTCACATCACACATCAACACAACGAATATCTTCAGGTGAAATAATATGATTTTTAACACATTTAAACGTTTAGCTATATTAGAGTTTTCCATGATCAATTTTTAGAATGATATTCACACAATATCTTCATTTAATAACTGTTTAATAAAATTACAGATATATATTATGCACAGATGAATGGCACCAGTTGTTGAGTTGTTTAAAAGTAGGGCCCAACAACTCAGAGTTACTCAGAGGTTGGGTAACTTAATTTATTTAATTTGTATTTTTTTTGGATAATTATTATTTAAAAGAGTAATATATGTGACCATTTAAATAGCAAAAACTGCATTATTATTAGTAGTAGTAGAAGTAGTAGTAGTATAGTATATTTATGATGATTTTTTAAATATATTTAATTTATTATAATTAAAATAATAAATAATAATTATATTAATTATTAAAAATGAAAATATATTTACATATTTACATTGAAATATAAACAAAATTGTATTATTATATGATTTTATTAATATATTTAATTTATTATAATTAATATGGTTAATAATATTTATAATAATTACTATTATTATAATTATTTTTATTAAAACCTTCATAATGAGTATTTTTACTATTATTATTAATGATATTCACAGTGAATGTTATGCCTTTTATTGTTGTAAGACAAAATAAACAGCTTAAAAATCAGTTCTACATATCAATTATTAAACACATAAAATAACTGATGTAAATGCAATATTGGTTGATCACTGCTCATTCATTTTTAAGCTGCATGTCTCTACAAGGCTTGTGAAAATTTGCAAGCGTTTTTTTTTTTTCTCAAATTGCAAATGACAAATATCTATCACTGGTATGCAAAATCAATTTAAAACTGATATATTTGTCCTGCAGTGCTGCGTTGTAAACCTCCCTAACATCATTATACAGATTGGTATTCAATAAAGCATCTAAATGTCTCCGCTCAGGACATTGTGCGGATGTTGACAGTATCGTGATGGTAATGGAGTGGGGTTATTAGATTATGGATATGGGAAGGAGTTTATCTCTGTCTGGGGTCAGTGTGTTTTATGTGGGCTGTGGTTGTGGGTGTTTCTCAAGGGAATAACACACCCAATAAAACAAGAGCTTGCATTTGAGTGAGTGAGTGATGGCATGTTGTATGAGGATGTTTACTGACACCATGCATATCATTGCATTTTTTTCCTACGATAGAATCGCTCCATATGTTTAGGAAACCTGACAGAGATTGAGTGGCTATAACACGGCCGAGCAAAATGCCTGACAATCACTGTCTGTCATCTGACACCTGTCTGCTAAAACATTACCTGTTTTTTTCCATTTAGAATTCTTGAGCATAGATCAGATACTAAGAAATGATGTATAAATCACATTGCAAGAATATAGAACTATAATGCGGTATATTTGTGTCTGTTTTATCACAGGTCTTGGACCTTTTTAATTCTATCTCTATGCAGGAATGTACATCTGCCTGACCACATGACTAATCTCAATTTAAAATGTTAACAAACAAGTTTCAGATCCACTGCTGGGAGTCAATACAGCTGATCTCTCAAGCAGAATTTAAATGAGTCTGTGTCTAGTAAACAGTCTCATTGCGGTTTGTGTGATACGTGCGCTTGCGATTAAATTCAACAGGTCAATAAAGGAAGGGGTATAGTACAGTTTTAGCATCACCCATATACTGTAGGTCTAGCTACACGATACAGTAGATAAATAGAGGAGAATATGACTGCTTTCGCAATTGAGGTGGAGGTCAGCAGGTTATCTGCAGACCCATCCATTTAACCCGGCTAGCCCTTGTCAGAGTATCATTTAATAATGACTCCATTCCATTGCTATAGAGATGATAAAACAAGGCCTCTTTCATGTCAAGAGAGCATCTGTATGTTGAGATATGGCTAGTGCAGTATTTTCATACCTTTCTTTTTTTTAGGATTGAGTACCTCCCAGCAGCCCCATCAGCACAACTTTATCTTTGTTGTTTAATGTAGCATTATTCTTAATATTAATTAATATGAATAATATGTAACATGAATATATAATTCATATTAATTATTTAATCTAATAAGTAATGTTTATAAAATGTATTACAATAAAAATGCGTTCACTTCAAAGGAATTGGAAAAACTATGAAATCAATTACAATTCATTATTTTTGCATATTCGTTTAATTTTAAAATGTTTAATTAATACATTTATTATTTTTATATATATGTTATACAAGCTGGAAATGGTGTTATAGTGGTTTGTGCACTTGTTTTAGAAAGCAAGCATCTGGGAAAAAATATAAAACTTTTGTTTTGTTAAAAAGGATTATGAAAAGATTGTGAAATCAGTTACAATTCATTATTTGTGTCTATTTAATTTAAAATGGTAATTATTATTATATTTATTATTATTTTAATAATACAACAAATACTTGTTATTATTATTCATTAGTTCATAACATGATTATTTTTCTATAGTTCTATTTTTCTATTTTAACAAAATGAAATGTAGTAAGTGGTTTTTGGAATCTGGATAAAATCTTCTTTTTTTTTTTTTCTTTCCCTTCAAATGAAACGAATTATAAAATGATAATGAAATAAATTATAATTCATTATTTTTGTCTATTAATTAATTTTTTATTTTAATTATTAATTATTCGTTTTATTATTATTAATATGAAAAAAATATGAAATTATTTATTTGTTATAATATTAAATGTATCTATTACATTTTTTATTTCTATTAATTTTTTAACACATTTAAAAACATTAAAAAAGTATACCTATTAATTTCTTCTTTCATATATGATAGTGAAAAAGTCACTGAATGCAGCCTATGCTTATTTATAATAAATTCCACTGCCTGAAGTTGTTGCATATCATATCAAATGAACAAAATGACCCAGTTTTACCATGATATCTATAATCTGTTCTCATTGCAATGTTCAGATCTTGCTTCTTGAATATGTTTAAGTGAAAACAATTATTAGAGTGGCTATTGCAATGTCACACTTCATGTTATTGTGCCTTAGTTAAGTTTTGCTGTTTGGTCTAATGATTATTACTAAATGATTATGAATACATTTCAGTATCATTCAAGTATGCTGGAATATTGAGCATCTGCTCTGTGTCCTTCCTCTAACCGTGGCTTCATTTCTCTGGTGTGTGACAGGTGAGGGCCAGCGCTATCGCCCAGGACGCTGATCAGAATTATGACTACGCCTCCAACAGTGTGATCCTGCATTTAGACGTGGGAGATGAGGTCTGTGTGCAGCTGGACGGAGGGAAAGTCCACGGTGGAAACACCAACAAATACAGCACGTTCTCTGGCTTCCTCATCTATGCTGACTGACCTGCTCTATACACTCAGATGTACTGTGTATGAACACACACACACACACACACACACACACACACACACACACACACACATACAGTTACGTACACACACCGAACAGGCTTGAAAGAAATGGACGTGGTTTATACGGAGCAGAAGGGCTTCACAGACATAACGGCAACCAATTCCTTTCATAAAGCAAGAGGATTTCCGACACGCTGTTTGTATGTGTGTAAATTATAACTATCTTACATTATACACTACTCTCAAACTTAAATTAAAATGCATATAAATATATGTCTATATCTATCCTGGACGGTGACACGCTCATATTTTCATGTGTACTTGTTAGTGTATTTGTCTCCATTTTGTGTATCAATCAAAACCAGAGATTCAGACTCAATAGTCAACATGCTTTATGGTGAACTGAGCTGCATTTACACATGGCTGGACTTGAAAGAAAATCAGTGCGTAAATGTACTTTTCACTCAGTAGACGCAGCCGTAGCGCGATACGGGAACGTATACTGTATATGCGTGCGCACATGTCGCAGGGCTAGTGATTAATCTAAATCCTCTTGTTCCATTCATTTGACTTAGTGACTGCTTTCGTTGTCTTTGTGGAATTGGAAGGAGTGTAATTGCACACACAATGGCTCACTACAACCAAACAGTCGAAGTAATCTGGGCCGGACCGGAACATATTGATTTAGGCTGATGAGACTCTTCAGTAATCACACAAATAAATGAAATTATTAGTACTTTTTAAAAGGGAGGATGTTGTTCCCTTGTGTAAGTCTAATAAAAGATATTACAATGTAAAACTTTGAAATCAAGATGAAAATGTTACACTCTTGACAAGGAAGTACATTTTATATCATACCAACATTGTTACAGATTTATTTATACAAAAATTGTAGATTTATTGATTTTCAGTTTGAGTCTAATAGATGAGCAAAATAAAAAAAAAAAAGATTAAATTTTTTGCCATTAGAAGAAAATATATTTAAAATGTAACATTTCGACATCACATTTAGGAAAAGCAACATGGTGGACAATACCTCTGTATGTATTATATTTTAGAATATGTTTTTATGAACGTTACAAATGTATAAATCAAGCTCCATACATTTAGCTGTAATATCAAGCCCAGTAAGGTTGATATTTAATTTTAAAAACTCATAATATAAAAAAGGCCTAAAGTTTGAATGCTAAATCTGAAAAATCTTTGTCCCTAAACTTTTTTTTTATTTTTTATTCTGGACTTTTAGTACAGATTCATAACCTGTATTGATAATTTTTTTTCTGTGAAATACAGCACGAAGGAGTTGTTGATCTAAGTCAGGCCATGTGGAAATACACTGATGCAAATATACAAATAACATGTCAAAACATCAAAAGCATTCCCTATTCATAAACAATTCAATAATAAATAATATTCAAATATCTCTGCCTAATTTTTATGTAACATTTGTACAGCTGACTATACAAAACTTTGCATGTTAGGTGGTTTGAAATCAGAGCAAACATTTTCCACTTTTTTGACAAGAAAGTACACATTTAATATCCTATAAGCATTATATTATAGAATTATTTATACAGATTGTAGATTTATTTATTTTCACTTTAAGAGAAAGTAGGTGAATAAATTTACATTTCTAAGAAATTATTATTATACATTTTTTTTTTTGCTATCAAAAGAGCAACATTGCATTTAAGAGAAGGAACATTGTGGTCAATACACTTTCACAGTGATCAATATTATGTTTTCAAATAAGTTATACATTAAAAATCTAGCTCTATATATTTTCCTGTGACATCAAGCCCAGTAAGGTTGCTTTTTTAGAACAAATCCTAAATAATAAAAAGGCTAAATGATTGAATGATAAATCTGACAATAATGTGTCCTTAAACATTTTAAATGCAAACTAAATTTAAACTTTACTTTTTAGTACAGATTCATGTGCTGTATTGAAAAATCTTTGTGAGAAATACAGCATGAAGTAGTTATTGATACAAGTCAAGCCATGTGCAAATAAAGTGATAACATCAAAAAACATTCCCTATTCATAAACGGTTCAATAATAAATATGATTCAAATATTTCTCCCTCATTTTTTATACATTTGTACAGCTGACTATACAAAAACCTTGCAACATGTTAGGTGTATACTAAAATAACATTATATATAAATATAGAAAACATTATTTCTGGCATGCATGTTCTCTACTATAAACATTTAAGAATGTGTTTACCAGACAGTATTTCTAATGAATCTTCAGTGTCTTGGAGAGAGAGAGAAAAGAAAAGAAAAACAAGCAAAACAAGAACAACGACATGAACAATACTAGGATTCTACCTGTGCATGCCAGGGCTAAAACGAAGAGAAAATCCTTTAATTAAAAGCGAGAGGTAATGACATTCCGGCCTTAAGGCTTTGGTGAATCTGCAGCCTGTGGGAATATGTGGGGGATCTCAGCGTGTCTGTGGCCAGCCTCCTCGCGCTCTCCTGCCAGATTCCAGTTGAAAGTTAATTGGACGGGGAGAGATCTGAGGCCCATTAGTGATTCCCCTGTCGAATGCAGAGCCACGAGGATCACAGACTCACAAATAGGCAGATTACAATAATCAATACACTTCACTTGCCTCCAACACGTTCACACAAGTGCGCGCAGAAACAGACCTGCATGCACATCCACACACATCCGTGCAAAATGAATTCAGTAATTAGTGGAGGACCTATTCACCGCTGGTGTATGATAGTTGGCTCTCTGGCTCTCGCTCGGAGAGTGTATGTGCCATCTAATGAGGGGGGAATAGTTCTGACTTCTGCCGAGCGCAGAGAGAGAAAAGGTCGGTGAGCTGTTGATGGGCTACTCTCGGCACACAATGCATCAGGGGGTATTTCAGCACACCCAAACAAACCCTTAGATTACATCTTATGTGATGTTCTTTTACCTATAAAAAAATACTTTTTCAGTAGAGATATGTGATCAGATATAGAGATATATATGGCAGTAATACAGACAAACTCTTGCAAAGCCTGTACGAACATCATTTTACAAATAAACATAGGGTCATTACAAAACAGCATTACAAAAAATAAAAATTTTATATGAATTTTTAAAATTGTTAATAAGATTTAAGAATTATTTTCCATTTTAATATATTTTAAGATCTAGTGTATTCCTGTGATGAATTTTCAGCATCATTACTCCAATCTTCAGTGTCACATGATCCTTCAGAAATCATTCTAATGTGATAATTTGGTGATTAAGAAACATTTGTTATAAATATTGAAAACAGTTGTCCTGCTTAATATTTTTATGAAAACAGTGATATGTTTTATCAGGATTCTTTGACAAACTGAAAGTTCAAAAGAATAGCATTTGTTTGACACAAAAAAAGTTAACTTTGAATCAATTTAATGTTTGAATAAAAGTAATATAAAGTATATAATAATGTATTAATGGTATTAATGTATTAATATTAGATATGCATGTATAGGCATGCATATATAGATGGATAGATGTTTATTGTATTAATGTAAAATTCATTATTATACTTCAAATTTCCATTGAAATTAAAAAGCTATACATTATCAGAGGAGCATTAAAAACAGGTTTGTAAAACCCACTATGCCTGCCTGCCTGCCTGAGATTTGCCCTTATAAGCAATTGAGACAAATTAGTCCCAAAGACACTAAACATCTTAGTGCCAACAACATTTACCTTTAATTTAAATCACTGACCTGAAACCAAATAGTTATCATTTGAATTGCATTAGTCTAACTGCAATAGAAGCTCAGCAATTTGCTCTCATTTCACTTCAGACAGCATGGTTTTTACAATTAACCACAATCAAAGCAATTGGGAGCGAGTTCAGCTTTCAACAAGTGTAAAACACTGCCATCTATCTGCAAACAGGAGAGAGGCAAGTTCAACTGGACTCGAAGCTCGTGTTCCTTAAATTCACAACTACAACCATTTTTTTTACACTTTCTAAAACAAGAATCTTGAAGAATCTGCAATAAAGACAAACAAATCGTTGGACTTTGTTGGAAACTTTATTGGACAGTGAGAACATTCCAAATTAATTACAATGTTATTGCATTTCCGATCCATAATTTCTCAATTTGAAAAAGGTAACTTATTCTGAAAAGGCCAAAAATAAAAGTCTGGCCAGACACGACATTTCTACTACAGCACAGTCCAGCAGAGATGCCTGAGGATACACTGGATATTGCATACACACTGCTAATGTGCTGTATTGAGAGGTTTTATTGCAGACCAGTCAGCACACAAGAGATCTTTTTCATATCGCTATATGGTTTGAATACCACAGGACAGGAGGTGGACCTCTTGGGGAGTCAAATGGGAACTTAAAGAAGATAAAGGCACTTCTAATAATAATACCCAAATGAGTGCAAACACAAGCGAAGGACTGGAGCCATTAAGCAAATGAAGGTGACGGAATGAATAGGAAGAAACAAAAAATACATATAAAGAAATTATTACATAGAAAAGACAAACAAATGAGTTGTGGTCTTTATCTTCAACCGCTCATGACCATGCGGACGAGTTCTGTAGAAAAATAAAAAAAAAATAAAACAAAGTTAGTTTCCAATTTGTGTCAAAAAGGGTATCGACCCCAACTACAGCACACAGCGTCAAAAAATAAATACATTATAAATAAAAAATGAAGTTCTACTGCCAAAATACAAATTCTTTTAAAACGAGGATGATTATAAATAATCAAAATAAATAAATAAAAGATTTTTTTAAATATACAAGTTATTATTTTATAATAAAATAGACAAATGCTCTTCACACAACCTCATCAACCCTTCAAAAATTGCATTTAGCCTGCGACATTTGCTGTAGTTGGAAGCCGTTCCCCAGTTGTACTCGTTCATAAGTGTTGGGAAACGGTGAGAGCAAGATCATGGCTAGCTCCTACTAAACCACAGCTCAAAGACTTAACCAGGTCTAGGATTCAAGAAAATGTTAAAGAAGCTCCTTCTGGTTTTCCTCTACAGGGCAAGAGTGGAAACGATTTATAGCACAGCTACAGTAATGAGAGATCGTACAGTTGAGCTATGGATCAGCCTCCATCAGGAAAAGGGAGAGAAAGATCAGCAAAAACAGCCAAACCACTGCAATTTGATTGGTTAGTTAATAATGAAAGCAACCGCACTGCTTGGTGAGCACAGGGAGGGACTGTGCCGATATCGGAAGACAAATCTTAGACTGCTTTTAAAAGCAATACACCCGGTTATGCTACATCCCTTGACATGCGCTCAAGTCTGAAGCAGTGCAGTCGCCCTTTGCCTCTGAGAGCCGTCGCAGGGACGGCCGCATGCAGAGAGCATGCTGCAGCCAGGGGCCAAAGAAAAGGCTGCTGCAGAGATGGGGAAGAGTCAAACCATGTTTCAAAACCTTCAAACTACATCCAACCAGGCTCTCTAGCTCTAGACGTCACATGAGGCACAGCTGCCCTCTGAATGTCTAGATTTCGTTGAAAGAGGCGAAGTGATGAGGTGTAGACTATGCAATCATGTGCGTCTGAGAGCGTTAAAGAAAAGGCCTGGATGGATTGTTGCTTCACGTGTTATAAATGTTGAGGGCAGGAGGTAGACGTATACCCGAGACATCTCTCAGCCAGACATGATGTGGCGAACAAAGGCTGTGGAAGATCAGTTACAGTTACGGCATGCTTTCAAGATCCGATTCTCACTAAAAGAACTTAATGCTCACAACATTTTTTCCATTGTGGTGCATAAACATAATACATCCATTCAATCCCCAGCACAAAGTTGTATTTTGTATTCAAATGTACTGTTATTAACTTAACGCTCTACAGCCAAAAACTAGGCTCATAAAACAGCAAGTGCTCTCATGATAAACCTTTATGCATAATAATCAAACTCAGTTGTTTACCTTCATAATTGATGCAACCGTTAGCATCTTCGTGTCCAGCTAGAAGCGATTCTACCTCCTCTTCGGTCATCTTCTCTCCTATAAAATAAATAAATAAACCCATGCATAAATGTTTTGCAAATAGAGCACTACATACATGTACACCATATTTGAAATGTTCACTTCAACCGTTTCTACAATCATTGGCCCAGATGTGGAGGAGTGGGCTATAAATATCTCCTCAGGAGACCAGGCCGGCTTACCCAGTGTGGTGAGAACATGGCGGAGCTCAGCACCCATGACTGTGCCGTTGCCTTCCTTGTCAAATACTCTAAGCCCCTCCACAAAGTCCTCAAACGTGCCCTGGTCTTTGTTCTTAGCGATGGCCTGGAGCATGGGCAGGAACTGTTCGAAGTCCAGCAATTTATGGTTCATTTCTGAGGAACAAAGAAGTCTTTAATCAGACAAGATAGCATTTATGTCCATATTATACAGGAAGAGAGAACTACTATAATTACAGTAGTTGATCAAGGTATTACTACTTGTACAAATACAGGGCTCAACAATAATGATGGGCTAGTGCGAAAGGTTCAGGTCAGTTGAGAACAGCAGTGCTGTTGTAACTATGTTTTTATGCATTTAAATAAACTTTACACCTTTTTCAATAGTTCAGTGTTTCGCTTTACAAAACCTTAACTGATGGACTGGAGTCATGCAGATTATTGTGATGTTTTTACCAGCTGTTTGGACTCTCATTCTGCCGGCACCAATTCACTGCAGAGGATTCATTGGTGAGCAAGTGATGTAATGCTAAATTTTCCTAATCTTTTCCAATGAATCTTCAATGGGCTAATACCATATTGACCCGAATATAAGAATGTTTTTTTCTTGGAAATACATCTGAAAAAACGCGGTCATCTTATATGACCTGGGGGAAGTCGTGGCCTAATGGTTAGAGAGTCGGACTCGTAACCCAAAGGTTGTGGGTTCGAGTCTCGTGAGCACTAATTACGAGTATAGGTCACCACACTTGGCCACATGTCACGTCACATTATTCAGGGTCTAGACTTTGACATGTCAATAATACAACCACAACAATAGGTGGCGCCAAATACGCATAAAACGAGTGTGCCATGAAATACGTAATGTAATGCGTGTTGTAAAGATGGATAGCCTAAATGTCCTAATTCAGATGGGCTACCTGTTTTTTTTCACATAATGTGTTTTACTGAGAAAAACAAGATTTGGTTTTTAAAAAGGCCTTTTTCCAAAAGGTACATCTGGAAAAAGGGGGGTCGTCTTATAATCAGGGTCGTCTTATATTCGGGCCAATACAGTAGTTAAATACACAAATAATAGTTAAATATACAAATATGGCAAATTTTCATTTTTGGGTGAACTATTCCTATTATGTTATGATGCATTTGAACATTTTTGTTACAAATCCTGTTGGTGCAGTTGTTAAAATAGTGAGAATATAGTTTTAACAGTGTTAAAAAAGTATTCATATTTTGCACCATAAGCCATTACTGAAAATAAACCAACAAAGAAATGTAATATTAATTTAAAAAGGTATAAAACTTTTTTTTTTTTTTTTTTTAAGTCGAATATTTTTAA